TGGGAAGTCTCACTCATTGATATAATTATTGCTGCACCCATTGATGCAATACAGCACCCCAATCATTGGATTTGGGTACGGACTTGTTCGGTCTTAACCCCAGCCTTCCCTCTTCTATCAGCTCACCACACCTCCAAAACCCTCCAAACCTCATCCTCGTCGCCACACCAAATCGCCGAACCGCTCGCGGCGCTGGGTCACCGCGTTACCGCGTTCGCTCGCGCACCCTTCGCAGCTCGGGCGTCCCACCCAACTTGTCCTCGTTCAGCAGCTCCGAAAGTTCATGGCCACTTTCCTCCAAACGTCGTCGGTCCGAACTGTCGATGACGTAGACCAACGCATCCTGCGGCGCCAGGCGCGGTCGAGCGGTCGAGCGGCGCGGTCTAGCGGGATGCGGCAGAGTCGACTGGAGATGGTTTTTTTTTTTTTTTTGGGGGGGGGGGGGCGGAAGAAGTTGAGCGGGTGCATCTGTTAACAGGACTCATGATGAGGTTCAAAGCTGCCAAACTCCAGGCCAGATCCGTTTCAATCCCATCCAACACAAAACCTCCTTCCTTATCTTCCTTCCCCCCACCAACTGGGGGTCCCAAACCACCCCACTCCGTCCCACCATCCAAAACCCACCCCTGTCTTACCGTCTCTTCCACCGTGCCGTGACCTTCTCGGCTCCGCGACTCGCGTCGTGTGACCGCGTCGCGACTCGCGGAATCGCGCGCCGTGTTTTCGAAGTAGTTGCTCCAGTAGGGCCGGATCGCCTTCTGTCCCCCGATGTCCCAGACGTTCCTGGCTTCAGTCCGAGCTTCCGAGGCGAGCGGACGGAGCGAGATGAAGGTGAGATGAAGGTGAGAGTGTTGGGAGAGTGGGGATCTGTAGCATTCAGAGTATAGTAGACTATAAATACCTTGAGCTCCATATATACCTATTGGTTGTGACCGTTGGTCTCGTGGTGTGAACCCAAAGCCATGATGCTTTAAGATTGTTGAGGTATACGGTATAAGTCACATCTAATTGGAGCCAATCATTCACACTGAAAGGGTCAACTATCTGTTTCCACTATCTGATTCCATTGGTCCGGTTCCAGTCAATGGCAAAAAGCACACTCACGCCATGCCTACACCACTCGCCAACAAAGAACACTTAGTGATGATGACTTCCCCCCCCGGCGAGTCAACCCAAAAGAACATCACCCCTTCGGCCCTTCGGATCAGGTCCCAGTGGCAACTTGAAGCCATCCTGCACGAGGCCTTGGAGAGAGCGAAGAAGCGGCCGGATGGCGGTTGGTCAATCCATGGGACTGGAATACACTCCCGAGTCAACTCACATAGACCCACGTCGAATGGCACCCCTGAAAGAATGTGTTCCTCTACCAACCGACGTGGTTTTCAGGGTCCATGGGATCGTCTTCCAGGGTGTAGTGGGAAGAGTCACTTGGATATGCTGTCCAGGAACCTGGACAAAATCACAAGTCTTCCCCCGATCGGGGATATTGACCCGGAAAAATGCACCACATCGGATCCGCAAAACCAAGGGTGACCCGCCTTCACCTGGACCGGTGGCTCGGTGGATCTCGGTGGCTCGAGCTGAGAGCCGAGCCGGAGCAGGTGGACACCCAAACGATCACCTCGCCTCTTCCAGTCCCATTGGCGTCTCCAGGTCCCCGCTGACATCCGTGCATCCAGACTCGAAACTCGACTCACGAGTCGAGTCAACGTCAATGAGAGTCTGAGTCCAAATGACCTGTTTTGACTTATAGACTTGATTGGATCATGTTGGTGGCTCTTACCCTTAGGGTATACTGAGCCAGTCTGCCCAAGATCAGAACCTGCACATCGGCACAAATGCCTTACATCTGAAACATGAACGTCTCACACCGTCCAAGGTATTCTTCCGTTCCACAGTTGTGGGAGTCGAAGGGTCCACTCCCATCTAATTAGGATGCATGTTCCTCAGACATTATCTTCATTACACTCGCGGAAACTCACATGGACCCGGGTCGAATGGCACCCTGAAAGAATATTTTCCTCTACCATCCAGTGGTTTTCAGGGTCCATGGTAGTCTTCAGCGGGGTAAGGGACCCCAAACACCCTTTCAGGAGCTCCACCGCCACCACCGCACGAATCGTCAGCACCGCCACCACCGTCTTCCGAAGTCAAAGCCATACCTGTCAAGATGCTCTTAATGTTGAAGCCCTGCGTCGGCATGATATGGGTGATATCCTGCGTTCCAGACGACGTATGTTGGTTCGCGATGCAACCAAAATGGCGCCCCGGTCACACCTGTGGTTCGGGACACAAACTAGAAAGTTGCATGACAACAAATCTTCACTCCCGCCCTGACCCCCTGGCAGGGTTGGGAAGGTGTTGGAAAGAGTTCAAGGACAGCTTTAAAAACCATCCAACTGACGCTGAAAACAGGGCATCAGTGAGCCCAAACCTACGCAATTTCCAAAGCAAACTGTGCCCACACACTGCAAAACAAAGTGACAAACATTGATTGATTTATATAAGGCATGCAGCAACGGTGAAAAACACCTGGTGACTGGTGTATCTGGTGAAAGAATCTCTAGTAGTCCACCTCGGGTGCCAGAAATCACCCATGGCCCAAAGCTCTCCTCTTCAGAGAGTTTCTTTAGGATGGTGGTCTTGCCGGCGTTGTCCAAGCCCAGGACGAGGATGCGGGCCTCACGCTCCTCCTGAGGAACGGGCGCCGCCGGGTGCGACATGAAATGCGATGTTGATGAACTAGATCTGGAACCACTGGCATCCCAGAATTATCCTATCAAAGAGCGGTTGAACCATCCCAAGAATCATCAACTCCCATTTTGTTTTCTACACTGTTATGTTTCCAGTTCATTGTTGTCTGCCAGTCTTTGGGCGGACAACCGCTTGCGGAAGATCACATTCATGTAGCCACTCAAGAGGATATTTTCCCCAGAAGCCAGAAAACTCCTCAACAATGGTTCCAGATCAAAGAGTGAAGGTCCATGTACAACAGGTTGACACCACCAAAACCAAATCCATCGCAACTGGAGCCACTGATTGGGAAAGTGCAAACACTACAAGTATATGTGGCCACTTGAAATACAGGCACCTAGGTTTGTTCGGGCATCGCTCCTTCTTCATCTTCTTCAAAATGCTGAGAAGCCCCATGGTCGTTGCTCGCGAATGCGCGAATCTCTCGTATATCCGGGGCAGTTGGAGGCGAATTGGCTGCGGGTGGATTGGGCAGGTGCTGAGCTGCTTGGGGAACTCCGGATACGTTGACATGGTTATTTTAGCATGATAACTCTTGGACCTGGTTGGTGGTTTCAACCAATGGACGAACATCATTATTTTGCCAGTGGGTTCAATCCCCAGATATCGTTTTTTTTTCACACCATGGCAGTGTCATCCAAGCTCATGAAACCAGTCAAGTACGTGGGTCCAAGCGACTGAATCCCCAGTTAAAGTCCCAGTAATGAAAACACCGAGACTGGAGACTGGTTGGCCTAATCCAAGTCTCATGAGACCTTCCAAGACTACAGTCGTCCCTGCCACGGATGTCGTTTCATCCGTGCTCGGTTTCATCAGCTGAAGTGCCGAGCAACAAAAAAAACTCTCAGGGCAATTGAGACAGTTGCCCCAAACAAAAATGAAAACATCAATCACCTACCAAAATTGCCATCCCATCCTACCATATCCATCCTATGAACGAAAAATCCATCCGTGAAAGCCAGCCCTGCACAGTGGTGGACCTGCACTGGCTCTGCCGGGAGCTCTTTGGTCTTGCTTCGGCCACCCGGGCTCCTCCCCGGTCGGTCGGTCGCCGAGACCCGAGGCTTCGACTAGGACGGTGAAGAAACTTCCACTGAACACCTCCAGTCGCTAGGGATCCAGGGTACGACTGGACCCGACGTTTTGGCACCTACATCACAGTGTCGAACACCTCACCTGCTGAGAAGGTACGACTGGATCCCTAGGGCCAGTGGCCACTTCTCAAGTTTTTCATGCCGCCCCCGCGTGTTTTTTTGGTCGAACCCACCGATCAGTGCCGTGATCGTTTTTTTGTTTTTTTTTAGCGGGTCGGTGGGGAGTTTGACATCGGGGCCCTCATGTCAAAGGATTTGATCCCACTCCATTCTGATTCTTCTCTTCAGCATGTAAGAATGCCGGCGTAGGTGTTGTGCATGATTTGGTGTGGTGAAACAGGGCACTCCCGGAGTTCCAACCAAGCACATGTACGGAAGCCCGGAAGCTCGCACGTTCTCGGGGTGTAAAGTTGGTGGAGCTTCACCCTGGTTGAAGTTGTGGGATGACGTGTCATCCATTTCATCATATTCGAACAACCCGTTCAATCGATCTAAATATGTGTACTGCATATAGTATCATATAGAGTCGTTGATCACTCAAACCCTCCAGATATGAAGAGGTCTTTACGGTCCCATGTCTGGGAGGTGTTCATGAATGAATCGTCTACAATGAAAACGATCCCCGAGTGCGCCGGCGCAGCCGGACGGCGCATCGGTCGTCGTTCGGCACATCGGTCGGCTCCTCCAGGCTGTGGACCTGATCGGGGTGCTCGAGCTTTGGAGCTTCGGAGTGCCATGGAGTGATCCACATCACTGGACTGAAGAACCACCCCGTCGAACGTGACTTCTGGTAGTGCAAACTGATTGATTGATGAACAAAACAACTTCTTCATGACATGGATTGTAAAACATGGACCGGGCAGTTTCTCTTCACAGGAACGTGACCTGACAAGGAAGGGGATGAAAGCCAGGGCAACATGTTCACGCAGCAATGTTCATGCCGCATGCCCCTCTTGATGATCTCACAATGGAAATGCAAGCGCATGCCATCCGTCCGTGTAGCAATAATCCCATCAATCACACCTGCTGTGTCCAAAAGGGCCTCTGGCTTGCCTGAACAACCTAGCCGCCTAGCTGCGGTGGCGAACGCGTAACACCATCAGACCGTGGCTTCCTTCCGTCCCCCTAAGCTATGCTTGGACACACGACGAGTGAGAGGAGACGATTGTGAGACGAGGCGACGACGTGGTCGCCTTCCCCAAACCATCTATAGTGAATCGAGTGCCACGTGGACCGGGTTCAAGCCGATGGCGTACACGAACAAAACGGCTGACACGAAGTCTTGCCAGTGAATGAACATCTCGTCATGTCATTGCTTCAAAAAAGCAAAGAGCAAGAGTTCAAGCTGGAAAAACACAACCTACTGTAACCCGTTTTTTCACATTTCTAATGTAAAACGTGTGCGTCCACGTGCTTACGGTCTCATCTAACTGCTCGTCTGCATGCAGTGATCCGAAGGGGCAAGATCTCTCGGGCCCAAACACCTGAATAGCTTCATCGATAGCTTCATGAATAGCTGGTTGGTTGCAGTACCTGCCAATTCTTCATGTTGCCTGGTTGATCTGATCGTTGATCGAATTCATTCCTTCCCGAAGATGCACTGAAACGATGCACGAACCCGCACTCCGAAGGGTCAATGGAACATCTTCCCATCTGAAAACAACATGCTGTTTGGGCAAAGAGAGTATCTGGAACTGCGAAGTGTTAACAGTGTCTCCCTGAAACAGTAATGGAAGTGGAACATGGCCCCTTGAAAGATCATTAGCCACTACAAAAAAAACACAAACAGGACTTTGTCATGCTTTGTCCACTTCCATGGTTGTTTCAGGATGTTAACATGTTCCACACCCCTCCCGTGCTGCAGCAAAGGAGCAACTCCTCCAGAAGCTTCCGTGCTGCTGGCGTCTTCGCCGCGCAAAGCACCACCTCTTAGCAACGCAGCGGTCGTGAACCATCTCTACTTGGTGCCAAGAAGTTATACCGTACTTTCATTATATCCTTTAAAATTGTTAAAATCACATGGTAAACACCTGGAGGATCAGGGTGGCAGAATCATGAACAATGTGCAAATGCAGCACCCCGACAAATGGAGTCTCACCCCTCTTAAGGTTCTGTGTTGATGTGGACTTGGCTGGATTAATCCTTTGTATATGAGGCTGGCTGAGTCGGCTTTCAGCATCGGCCAGCTGAAGCCGAAACCATGGGGTGGAACAGGGCTATTTACCTATGGACCCACGCTTGGTTGGCCCATGGTCCAAGTAGCTTTCTGAGAAGGTATGTGAATCCCTACTTAGGAATGGGCAATTGCTTTTGGTTTGGGTGTGCTGGAATCCTGAAGTGGCAGTTCTATTAGTTCATGGCTTGGTGTTTCCTTCTTGTGGTGCTGAAGTGGCTTCAGTCATCGCAAGCCGAAGAAGTTGTGTTGCCTTCAGTCGTTGCAAGTCCGTCTTCAGGAAATTTGGGGGGGCCTTGTCTCACTGGTGCGAACGGCAAGGAATGAGAGGGACGGTCGGTTTGTCAGGGGTCAGCCTAGTCTGACTGACCACCCTCCCAAGCAAGGTCCCATCAGAAGGTCCTCATTTCCATCAGAAAACTTGGAGTTGCAGAACCAGGAAAATGACTGGGTGACACATCCATCCTCCAACCCCTTTCTTTCCGCGCGATCGACGAAACCCACATCCAGCGTGGGTCGATGTTGGTGGTCCCTTCGAACTCGTTTGCACGTTGAAACGCTGGTGATTCAGCCAAGAGAGTCAAATGAATACTGGCCGTGCGAACATGTGTGAAGGAAGACTCTGTCCTATAGTATGCAACACCGCCCCTCGACAGAAATCTAGGTCAAGCCCACATCCCTCGCAAAGTCTCGCTACCCTGAGAACAACGCAAAGAGCTGGTCCCCTTGGTCGCACCCTGTGTGCAGGCAGTCTGGCTGCAACTCAGCTGTCCAACGATGTGGCCCTATGATCTCTCTCTCTCTCTTGCAGGGTCTCGTCTCTAGCTGTCCCACCAGGACACCCTGACAGAACTGCTGACGGATTGAGCCTGATCTCTACTCACCCTGGAGCTAACATGGAAGTGGAGTTCACCACCTGTTCGTAAGTGGATTTCATGGTCTTCCGAACTCGAGGCCATGGGCCATTCTCCACTTCGTGAGTTCCAGGGAGTTCATATACGTCCCACCCCTCCGCTCACCGTCGTCCCGTTTCCCGCGCCAAGCGATTGAAGAGCTGCGCGCCCACCAAGCCGCCCGTGACGAGGGGCTCGGCCTCGGAGGCAGCCAGGCTCGCAGGCTCGGCCAGGAACCGAGGCCGGCGTTCAAGATGGTTAAACCATGTTAGACCAAGCTTCCTATATATAGGCAGTGGCTTCACCCAGAAAAGAAGATTGGACGAAATCTCACCGGATCCACACAACCAGCTTCAACATAGAAAGAACATAGACCAATCTATTCAATGGGCCAGGCGTTCTCCAGGTCTCCATATTATACTAGCAGATTGCGGACTAGGCTTCCTTTAGGGTCTCTCTATCACATCACTGCATCCCTATCCTGTCCCCACATCCTTCGCTGACAGCTTCGCGGTTTGCTCCAGGCACCCGAGCTCCGAATTGCTTCAGTAAGGGCGAGGTATATTTCCGCAACTCCTGCAGAACGCCATGGAGTGCATGAGGCACAAATCAGCACCTGTGTCTTTTGCTCGGGTGTTTAGGACAAAGAAAGCTAGCACAGTGCCCCAGCTAGCTGGGCATAGGAACGAACAACAAATCGAGACAAAGGCTCCTGGGCATCATCTAATTAATCCAAAGCACCTCTCCTTCCACTTTCTGAACATGTCATGGGAGAACCAGAACCTAGCATGCCACGGACTCGGAACCCCCCCAAAATCGCCGCCCAACAGGTCAGTCCAGTGCCCCCAACCGTCCGCTCCCAAACCGCGCCCCCGCTCCGTTCGCGACCGACCAGCGCGCAACAACTCGACTGGGGGGAACCGCCGGGTCGCCTCCTGGTTGTCGAAGCCCAGCAACTTTGCGGCCTTGGCCACGGTGAGTTGCACCTGGCGGTGTGACGTGACGTGAAGAGCGGGTCCAGCTGAAGGGTTAACCAGTTCACCCATGGTGAAAACGAGATATGTGCTGTTATTGAAGGGAGGTTCATCAAACTGTCATGCAAAAGGGGGAACGCACACAAACAAGTGACCTGTTTGACAAAGAAATCATGTTCCAATCTTGTCCGTGTGCCAAGCATTGTGTTAACTTTGCAGATGGGACATTGAAAAGACCGCCCTGTTACCGCAAACTTGTCAATGTTCATGTTTCCTCAAGGTCAAGAAGCTCTGTCTTTGGAGGATGAAGAGTCTTCATCGATTTTTTGAAAGGAGTATATAACTCTAGGCTTCCTGGGTGGGTCAAACACATTCCAAATTCTACATGAGTTTGTGTGACACCATCAAATATTTCAAAGCATGATCAACAGAGGGAAATCTGAGAAAACCACATTTGCTACCAAGAGAGGTAGCCAGTGACCTGAACTAGGACCCTACTGGGTACCCAACTGGGATAGTCTAGTTCGGGTCATTCAACCTCTGCTCGTTCCTCCCGGGACATTTTCCTTCTTTTCGATCGCGGCTGGCGGGGTCAAACCCGACGCCGAAGGAGTCGACCTGCGGCTGGCTGAAGGAGCTCACTGCGCTGATGGGCACCTGGCAGAAGAAAAGCGGGCACCGATGGAAGTAGGGAAGAAGGGAAGAATGAGTTCCCAGTAGAGATTCGATTGGATGCTGCCACCCTCATTTTCTAAAGAACAAGTCAAATGATCGGGAAACTTCACTTGCGTTCCGACCGGTTAACATGGACCAGTCTGCCCAGCCAGGGCCAGGAGTGTCTCCATTCAAAAGAAGATACTGCCGCAGACTGGATCTGACTGGGAGCAAGTCGCACATGGGGAAGTTCGGATACAACTCCACCAGCTGTGGACGACCACCATTGCCACCATTGCAAGGCCACAAATTGCCACCATTGCAAGGCCACATCACCCTACAGGTCCAGTCTGACCAAGTAAAACCTGGTGCTGAAAACCTCATTGAATACCCCGTGGAAAACTCACATGGACCCTGAAAACCATTGCTTCGTAGAGGAAAAACAGTCAAACGACCCGGGTCCATGTTTTCGTTTCTCCTGACCTGTGGTGTTTTCTACATGCCAACCACCGGGCCTCGACGCGAGCTTCCGACTCCTGAGGCTACCCGGCTGGGGAAAACCCCGTGGTGAGATGAGTGAGTGCAACTTCCCAGACCATCCATGGATGGCGACCACGGATGGATGATGGATGTCTCTGACCCCGTGGGTGGATGCTTCAAAACATCTTGAAATCACCCTGTCTTGGTGGGCAAGGAAAGCATCCATGCACCAGGACTCACAAAGGAATGCTATCCATGGAGGTAGTCGGGTGCCCCTGTCACATCCACTCACTGGATGGGACGAGCCACACCACCCCGTCGAACGTGACCCCTGGCATGTATTGATAGACTTTTGATAGACTATTTGTACATATTTGTGGCATGTCAGGTGCATCATTCACAGGTGAGGAAACACTCCAAGGGATGCTCACTATACAGCATGATAACAGGACTCACGAACTCGGCCTTTGTAGGTTGAGGGCTCTGATGGGTTGAGGGCTGGATGTTTTTCTTTTTCCATGCATGTTCTAAGCCTTTGCACACGAAAAACATGTCATATACAATATATATTACATATCATATAACATTAATATAACATTATATGACTATAGACAAACCGTTCGAGGATGATTTTACATAACTCCTTTGAATGCCAGTGGGCTGTGAATCAACTATTACTGTACCAACAGCTTCTTCGCACCACCACCCGTTGTCAGCTATTGGCACTTAAATAAAAACACATTTTTCCCTTTGATTGCCGGCCAACAGCAGTTCGTCATCCGGCTCTGCGGTTCAAAACAGGAAACAACAACAATGTAAGAGGTGAGATGGAGTCTTCTGTACAGGTACCGAAGACTCCAAACATCGTCCTTGTAAGAGGTGAGATGTAGTCTTCTACAGGTGTCTTTTTTGTGTTAACATGTGTTAACCACTGAAGAGCAGAACAACATGTTCCATCTTCCAACCTTCCAAACAAACAGCAAGTCGCTCGATCAGCCTCATCCTTTTCGGTGAAAAGGTCCGAGCCACAGCTAAGAGGGAACCGGGGCGGAACCGGGGCACATGGACGCTGCCTGTCTTTGTCCAAGTTGCCAGCAGTAGCGAGACCAAAGAAAACTCTGTCTTGCAATCTAATCATGCTAAACTCAAAAAAGATATCCGGATGTCTAACTTAAACCACATTTCATCACCTTGCGTATCACTTTCACAACCTCAGCCAGGGGATGCACAAACTCTAGTGTCTCAAAAGGGGAAGAGAAACAACTCGGCTAGAGCTTTGCTGACGCATGTTGGCCAGGTTGGCCCTTATGCGAACTCTCCATGTGAGTCCCGGTGTGATCCCCAAGGCGGAGGGAAGTGAGCAAGTGACTTTGGCTTCTGGACCCATAACAGGTGGATGTTTTTGGATGATTGGATCAATACCACCTGTTTGTTTGGATGTACTTGACTTGATTTGAAATTAACTTAGCCGTACACTAGGAAACTCCTGTCATGCCCTGCAAGAGGCTGGAATCCATCGAAAGCTCGCGAGCGCAGCTTCCGCTCTAGGGGGTCTGTGACAAATGTCCGCACCTAGGACTACAACCACATCCTCAAAAGGTGCCAGGGGCCCTCAAATTCATGAAAAAACAATAAATTCACATACAAAAAACATGTTTTTTGCTAGGGAAAACCAGGTTTTTGATGAGCCATGTGGGGCCTCTGGTGGTTGGGGTGGGGGGTGTCCCACGGTCTGATCACCTAGCCTCCGGTACGAGAGCCCGGCCGCGGACAGGTCACAGGAGCCCTGGGCCACGCTCCGGGGCCACCGCTCACGGTGCCTCGCAAAGGCACTCAGAACAGCTGGCCGAGAAGTACAAGTGGCTGGTCCTGCCCATCAGGTGGCCGTGGATGGGTGGGGACTAGCGCCGCAGCGCCGTTCAGGGAGTTCGACTAAGAAGAGTAGCACATGCTGTTGATTTCAATCCACTTTGATGAGGTCCATCATCCCAAGTGAAGGTTGAACATCACTTGAACATATAAATCTCCGAAACGACCCACCCAGGTGAGGTGTTCAATGAAACTCGGAAACCGCAGGAGTCTCGGCATTGGATTAAAATGATTCAATCTGCAGGAAACCATGGGAGAATGGAACCCACAGTGATTGGGGGTGAGAAGGATTTTTCGGTACAGTAGATGTTCCTGACAACCGTGAAATGCATGGGAAAGGCTAGGAACCTCCAGTCCAATCAGCACTGGGAACTGCGAGAGACGCTGGCCAACGGCCCAGTTTTCAAGACGAAGGTGACCGCTTTGGACTGATCCAAAAGAATTGAGCACACATTCTGCATCTTGGTCTTTCAAAGGACTAAGTTCTGAAATATTCATATGTATTATACTATATAAGATTCAACTATATGTATTATTATTGTCCTAAGAACCGCCCCGAGAACCCTCACAGCGTGGCACTGAAAAAGCAACCTAACTGTCCGTTGAGTGCTCGCCGTCAAGGAGAAGGTGCAACCTTTAGCGCCCTGCATAGTGCATTGCAAGCCACCTGCGGAGACCGAGGCGCGTTCGGCACGAAGACGACCAGTCCCAGTCGTCGTCCCACAAAGCAACTTCTCCCGTGCACAAGAAGCGCAACAAGAATGCACACGACCCGTTCTCTACGGCCCACATCTTCGCAAAGCCCATCTGCCCATCTCCGCCCCTGGACTGGCCCCACCTGCACAGTAGCAGTCGCCATCTGAGTCGGGAGAGCTCAAGGCTGCAAAGTCCGGACCTGTTTGGATGCTCATTCGGCTTGTCACAGGTGGGGTGTAATCAGTAGCTGGCTGAGGCCGGGTAGAAGAACCAACAGGGGGGTAGGACCAGTAGGATGTGAGAAGGTCATCGATATGTGTCTGACGGCATTGTAATGGTTTCAGAGTAGATGGCGTAATCCCCAAGTTAGGTAGCTTATATAACCCTGTATAAAGCACATCTTGGGGTGCCAGTGACATCTACTCTTAAACCACTGTAAGTCTTCTTCTGATGCCCAAGAAATGACCAGGCGTCCTGACGGCGGAACGCTCGAACTCACTTGCATGAGTGGAAAACCCCCTGACTCACTAACCCCCCCGGAGCTTTTTCCACTTCCACCATTCCTAAATCAGAGTGTAGAATCTTGATGATCACTTCCCCCCAGGCCTCTTCAGAGGTGTTCAATTCTGGAGTCTAGGTTATTATAGTGGATTGAGAGGACCAATGGCACAAACCCCAAGTTACGGTGGTGCAAGGACTGGAACCCCCATCTGTCTAGGACATCTTGGGGTCTGCGCCATCGAACCTCTGAAATCACTGTAAGTCTTCTTCTGACGCCCAAGAAATGACCAGGCGTCCTGACAGCACGTATCACCCGAGGTTTTTCGCTCAAACCGTGCATCAACCGTGCCATCTACGTCCAAGCATCAGCGCTCCGTCTTCCGGCTCCGAGACCCAGCCCTACGAGAGGAGGTACGAGAGTCCTGGTCGGCGCCCGAGGGCGCATGCCGGGGTGTCGGGTGGCACGAGGGTGGCGGTGAGGGCTTGGAAGTGAAGGGCCGGCCGGGCCAGTGGCATGTGTGGCACCAGCTTTCCACCAGTGAACTGCCCCCCTGACAAGAATGAGAACATGGTGAAAGGCAGAATTGAACACCACAAACAGGTCAAAGAAGTGTATAAGTTCACGTTCATGTCGTACTTGCATGCACTGTCGTACGCGCCACTGTTCCGGATATTTCCGGATGGGTCTGAATCGCAAGAAGTGCCAACCAGGATGCCCTTTAGGCACTCCGTGGCCTTTTTGCCGGACCGTGGCGCAACAAACCCACCACGTCCAGAAAGTTCAGCTGCGCTGCAACATCTGCCGGAGTGGTACCATCATGTGTCTTCGCCTCACGGTCAGCTCCAAACTCTAGCAAGACCTGTGCCACATTCATGTCACCAATCTGGCTAGCACAATGCAAGGGAGTCCTAAGATCATCTTTTGTAGTCTGATTGCATGAAGCTCCAGCTTCCAGCAACAATCGCGCCACTTCATGGTAACCACGAACTGCTGCTACATGCAAAGGAGTCTCTCCAGCGTCCCCCATGGGTAAATTACAAGCAGCCCTGGCCTCAAGCAGCAAGCGCACCACTTCTAGTTGTCCCCTCTCCACGGCATAATGCAAAGGAGTCTGCTGCTGGTGTTCTCTGGCAACATCACAGGCTGCCCCGGCCTCCAGCAACAAGCGCACCAGATCGAGATGACCGTTGACACATGCAGCATGCAAAGGAGTCCAAGCAACCCGCTTCGAGACCTTGTTGCAAGGAGCTGCAAAGTCCAGCAACAAGCGCACGACATCCAAGTGCCCCTTCTCCTGCACATGTGCGGCAAAAACAAACAACTGCAACACATCAAACACATATTCTCCCAGATTTGGGGATTTACGATTTACCTATAGGGAAAACAAAGGATCACTTGATCAGCAAAACCAAGTCTCACAGGCATAGTGAAGTGGAGTCCATCCATTGTCTTCTGTGGCTGCATCGGGGGCAGCTGCTGCCTCCAACAGCACCCGCGCCACGTCCAGGTGACACCACTCAGCAGCAAAGATCAAAGGAGTCGAGGCATCATCCTCAGTCGCCTGATCGCAAAAGGCTCCAGCCTCCAATAGCAAGCCTTGGATTTGGTGGTCAGGAACCGCGAAAACACACATCAATCCCCACCTTGTAGATCCTTGTAGAGGGTCCAGCCACTGGAAAACATAGACACTTCGATACACTATAGTCACTATAATGACCATTATTATAAGATCCCCCAATAGATAGAGACGGTTTCCAATAGATTTTTGTGGGGATCTATACTCTATATCTCTCTGGGGGTCTATAATAAGCAAGGAAGCGCACCACTTCCACATGACCACCCTGGGCAGCACATTGCAACGCCGTCCAGCCACCGGAATCCGGAGCATTGGGATCTTGCGGTCCTTGGGATGAGGGCCCCGTGCGTTCTTCGCCCCGGGCGGCCGGCGGAGGAAGGCCAAACCAAAACACCAACGACAACATGTTCCCCGAAGGTTGGGGGATTGAACCTACAGTAATGTATAGACTCTTAAGGACCATAAACCATCGCATTTGGATTAAACCATCCCTCTTCATGTGGAGGTATGATTCATCAAGAGTCTACACTTATAGGAAAATCAAACCAATGTCACCTGATCAGCAAAGCCAGGGGTCGTCGTTGAAGGAGACTTTTAACATCTTCTAGACGACCCTCATCACATGCGAGGACGAATTCCTCATCTTCCTCTTCGTCGGGTAGCTGAAACGGTAGCCGCACCAGCTTGAGGTCCAAAGGCGGCACCAAAATCGTCTCATCCTCCATCTCCACCTCGCCGTCGACGTGCCACAGCCGAAATTGAAACCGACCAGATCCAACGCCCCGCGCCACCAGCTCCAGTTTTAGCGCTCGGACTGTCGCGGGAGCCACGCTCCACAGCGCCTCGAACTCCTTCTGGCTGAGGGCTACCAGAACTTCGCCAGACGCCGCCCAGCGCACCAGCAGCGCGGTGGTCTCAACGACCGCAGCCATGGTCGCAGATTCTGCGCCGCGGGTTACACCCACCGCGGAGTACGCGTGTCACAGCAAGAAGCCTCAGGCCACATGGTGAAGCCCTCGCTGCTTCAGCCGCAATTGGCTGCGCCCGAAAAGACCCAAAGAACTTCTGGCGGCTTGGGGGAACCTAATTGTGTCAGGCACTACCATCTGAACGTCTTGGTAGCTACGTACTCAAATGCCCAGTCGGTGGAAAAGAGCTCTTCGAACCAATGACTCTGACTCTATAGTTTAATATCACACAAAACACGTGAATCTCCAGTCAGGCCGCATGAGGCAATTGATGGTAGCTGATCATGGAAGGCAACTTGGGAATTGGTCAAGTGGTAGCTGATCATTCAGCTTAATTACTCAGTCCGCATCAATCCTTCGTCCTCGTTTCCGGTGGCTCACCCGCCCGCCCACACCGAATGACCCGCTCCTGGCAGGTGCACCCTGCGCAGCCCTGATTAAAGTAGGTCTCGCTGTAGATCTGCCTCCTTGTGCAGGCAGTGCGCTGCAGTCAACTATAGTAAGCTGTTATATATATTTATTGTGAAAAGTGTCTATATGCAATGGACAGGAAAAGATCGCATACTTGAAGTGTCGTGGCCTGGAAAGAACCGAATATGAACATGTAAGTGCGCAAAAACGCATCCCCAATGTTGGGGTCTGATTGCAAGTGTCGACCTTCCGAAGTCCAGAAAACATATCTGCAACGACGGCCGCTGATCTGGGTCGGAATGCATGTCCTTGGGTTTCGGACCGTTTCACAAGCCGAGAGGAATTCAGGGGAAAGCAAGAGAACCAGCGTCGCTGGTCGTCCGCTTCGCTTCGCTTCCAACCACTCGAGTTGCTTCGCTTGGTTGATCCTCTTGAGGTTCATAAGACATCATAAGACACCCGAGGCCCCCCTGGTCGGATCCTCTGAGGCCTGGGGGGGGTTCTTCGAGTCTGCCGTTCCTACCCGATGCTAGCTGCTTTGAAATAGCTGTTCCCTAGGGCTCCAGTCGTACCTCCTCAGGTTCGGTATCTGGACCCTCCTGGCACCCACCCCAGTCCCACCTTCTCAGGTTCGGTACGACTGGAGCCTTAGGGAAGGAATACATGATGGAGCATCATAAGCCCACAGATGTAGTCTTGAGTGCCCACGACTGGAGCCGAAACGGGGTTGTCTCTTTCAGTCTTTGGGAGCCCTTTTTCACAGCGACTGGCCGACCAGGACCGCGTGGACCAGCGGCCCGGTCTTCTTTGTGGCCGTGCGTGGAGCGGTTCACCGATCCCGACACCGGGAAGAACGCGGGACGATCATCGACAGATCTGGGGTGTGAAAAGCAACAAACTTACGAATGAATCATGGCAAGTGCATGATTCAATTCAGTAACTCTCAAGTTGCCTCAAACAAGTTGATGAGCTCTGTATGTCATTATAGATCGACATAGTTTCATTACGTCCCGGGCTGGTTTTCAGACTGGGCTCATCGGAACTATAGAATTTACAAACAGTTTTTTGGTAGCTGGTTTCAACTCAGAATTGAAAAACAATTGATGAGTCAGTAGGTGCAATACGCTTCAATCATTCCAAGTAAAAATTGAAAATCACATATTATCTGAACCACCCAGCTTTGGCTGTGCCAAAGCCGAACGGCGTCTGTCAACCCAATTCATGTTTCATGTGCTGAAAATCATCCCAAGTGAAGATTGAATGTCCCCTAGGGCTCCAACCATCTCCTGGGGTTCGGTGGTTGGGGTAGGTGCCGATGGGGTCCCCATCGGTCGTGGTCGGCACCGATCCGCCTCGAGGTGGCGGAAAAGGGGCAGCCCAGGCTTCCTCCGAAGTGGCCTCGTGCGTGGAACGGTTGGGTCGGAGGGATTGAAAGGCCCCAGTAGTTATAAATAATATATATATATGTGTGTGTGTGTTACAGTAATTATTTGTTTTCTAAATACTTATATACATTATAATATATAAGTACTATTTAAGTATTTATATAAATGTATTGAATGACTATATATATATATTGCACCCTACATTGAATACATTGAGCACATGGTTGAATCATGTTGAAGATATGCCAATATGCCTATACATGGAGGCCCTTGAGCCCGTAAAAGTCATGATAGAACCACAGAAACAATCAAACACACATACATCATACATTTGACAGTTGGTTTCGACATGTTCGCCTGAAACCCTGGCGGATGCAACCGTTCACGGGCAAGGCACGAAAGGATGACCCTGGACCCAGCGTGCTTGCTGTGTGGGAGTATGACATGCTGCCATGTGGAGACCCCTTCTTGAATGACTGCAGGTGTCTGGGCGCCCGGCATATGCAGGTGCTTTGTTGCAGCTCGAGCTGCCCAAAGTGATTCATGAGCATATTGCAATGATAATTACAACATCAAGGTCAAAGTTCAACTTGTGCAACTGCCAAAACAACATGAACGCCTACAAGCTGTTGCCGCGTTCCCTCCTCAGTAATTCCAATCACAGCAACGTTACTTGCAGCGTTGACCCTTTTGGCGTTCCACCCTTCTCCACCCTTCGCGTTCGTCTCCACCAGGGGACATTCGGCTCCTTTTCTGCACCGGCAGTCTCCGTCGTTGTCCACTTGGGAGTACTTGGCGAAGCTCGGGCAGTGCTCCGACTTATGAACCTCCCGCTGCCGTCGCTTCGCGCGCGGAGCTGCGTGGCGTGCAGCTGAACTGCTGCGTTTTGGATGACCGGGCAACGTGGATTGACTATATAGAGCTGAGGACTATAGTGGGACTCACTCTCTTATGAGGTTCCTCCACGAAGTACACCCAGGACTTCTGCTGAACTTGGCTGTGGGACGAAGCAAAATGCGTATACAACTAAATGTTTTACCATGCGCATAAAGGCATCACAAAAAAACTGATGGTCTCAATATGGTGGATAAAGAACCCACAAAGATCTAGGCCCTGACTGAAGACTAGTTAAACTCTAAACATAATGTAGACTCTTGATTAATAACCCCACCATTTGAATTTAACATCCTCTTCATATGGGGGGTCTATTAATCACGAGTCTACATTACGGCCTTTGCCAAGTCAAGACGCTAAGTCCGGCATCTTGCATCGAACACTCGAAACTATCCGCCGGCCATCACACCTGGTTCTACTTCCCTTGCGAAGACCCTTTAAACAACCAAGCTGTGTTCACTTTACAGTGGTTTCCGAGGTTCGATGGCACTGTTGGGCCCCCAAGTTCGTTGCTTTCCATGGACCCCTAATATATATATATATATATATATTTAAAGACCTCTTATAAGCCATGCTAATTAGTGCCATCAAACCGAATGAACACCATTCCGCTTCTTCACCCTCCGCCCCTCCGAAACCACAACCACCGGGCGTCTCTCAGCAGCCGCACCCACGCCTCCGCCGGATGATCCGAGACCTCTTCCGCCGCATCCTGCCGAAACTCGACCGGCGCGGCCAGCTATCAAAGACTTCAGCTGGCGGACGACCTGTGGACCTGCTGGTTTCAACCACTCCCAATGTGTTATACATCATGATGAATTATATATGGGTGTGGATTGAGAGGTTCGATGGCACCCCTGAGGGTCTCTGGGCCCGTGGCGCTGTGGTGGTGGTGACAGTATATGAACCCACCCCCCATTCTATGAAGAACATGGGGGCCTGTGCCATCTGTATAGAAGCCACTGGTATCATGGTGTTTATGTTATGTGAACCTCATGGAGCTATCTACCACTGTATAGACCTCTGCCAGTCTCATGGAGCTGTGGAAAAACGAAGAACTGCGCAGCTCCACAGCTCCGCCGTGGACGGCGGGTCTTTGCGCGCCGCAACGGCCATGCACAACGCCACCGGCTTGTCATAATATGCATTAGATCAAGTGGACTCAAGCCACCTGAGCTTAACCTGATCCTAGTGTCTGATACCCAAACACTCCATGCATGCCATATGGGATGGTTGGGTGCATATATTCCAGTCCCATGGAGTGTCTGGGATAGAGTCTGGCAACCTTGGCAACTGGGCACAAAACGAATGACCGCAGCGGTCAAAGGCGGTTTGGCCAACTCCAGAGGCAGGTGTAATATGGATGTAGGTGACTATGGATGTAGCATATAGAGGAAATAGCCACCTACATTCGTAATTATGGTGTAGTAGCCATTGGGTATTCCAGCTTTTAATGTGACAGCAATGGGTAGGGACACAGAGCTACCAAAGCAAGGGATCCATTCTTCGTGGCTTTGACTTAAGCCAGGCCCCCATGAGGTTTTTTCAACATGTGGCATGCAAACCCCAGCTTCTGTGTGTGTGTGTGTCAAACCCTGTCCCTAAGGGCTTTTCACCTCGGAA